CAGCAAATTCTCAAGCTGAAGCCCCGCATGCGAGGAAGGAGGTAATGTCCATACTGCGCCCTCGAAAACCGAGCTTGTGCAGTTTCACGGGCAGCAGCATTCCTTCCAGCACGTTCCTGGGATCACCAGCTGAAGAATGGCGCCCGCCCAGAAGACCCTCCTTTCCCCTCAAGGGTGGGCCTGGGCAGGTGCGGCATTCACGCGTCCACACACTCATGGAGTCCCTGCTGCTGCTAGTGCCCGAGGAGCTGGGCGGCTGTTGGAGTACCTGAAAGCACCTTTCTCCTTCTCCTTGCAGGGCCGTGGCTCCCAGGGCCTCAGCTAGAGAAGGGAGGACGGCTGTCTCTGGAACGGAGTGGCCAGGCCCATCGGAACTGCTGACGGGGATGTGGCTGTTGGGAAATGATTACGTGGTCGGTTTTTATCTTGAGGGTTGGCTGAAAAATTAGAGCAGGTCAAAGTTTCGCAATAGCTAAGAGGGATTTCTAAAGAGTTCTTATCGTTTGGGAGGACTTGTGGGCTGGGAACGTTGGCCTGGGGAGCTGGGGAGCTGGGGTGATGTGTGTTTGGGGCAGGAAGTTGGAAGCTTATCAGTTGCTGTGAAAGTCTGGGAAGGAGGCTTTTATTTTGAAAAGGTCACAACAGCTGGGAGGGCAGATGGGACTGCGTCCGGGCAGCTCTGGCGGATGGAGGCGGCCCCTTTCTCACGAGGGAGATCCAGAGTTGCCACAGCTGGGAAGACCCAGGGCTGGGGCTATAAGGAGGAAAAGTCGACCTAGACTGAGGGAGAGGTGCTCCTGAGCTCTAGCCTTGCCTGTGCTACGGCTGTTCTCCACGGGGAGCTGTGAGCAGCTCCAGCCTCTCTCCAGCAGGGTACCCGCATCCCTCCAGGCCCTTCCCAGTGGCTTGCTTTTGCTCCCGGAACTTATGCATGCAAATTGCCAGTTACCTCTTCTGTGACAATCCTGCAGAGCCAGCTGGGTGGTGAACAGTATTAAAAGGGCCACACACAGCACTCGTGGGAAATGATATCCATATTAAAATCAATATTGGGGTTGTACAGTAGTACTTCGTGATACGTGCTCCTGGAAAATGTTGTCTAAGTAGGATTTTGGCCGCTCAAATCACATTTGAACAATATGTGAGCACTGTTTTGGAAAAAGTCAATAGTTCTTTGAAAGGCAGATAACCATGGGTTTTTTGTTTTTCAATTTGCTATAGGACACTGGTGGTACTTGCTGGAGAGAGACAGAGAGCGAGAAAGTAGCCCCCTGGGGGATGGCTACACCACAGTTCCTCTTGTTCTTAGAAGTTTGGACATGCACACATATGTGTCTGTCATGTTTTTCAAGCCACCGGGTTCAGGACTCAAATGATACACTCGGCCATGTGGGATTCAGCTATCTTAACCACCATGCCACTGGGTGTTCCTTTCCTGTTTTTATCTCTAGCTTTGAACCTGTATGTCGTACTTAATACAATTCCAATACTTGATTTGTGTGTGTGTGTGTGTGTGTGTGTGTGTGTGTGTGTGTGGAGGTTTTGCTATAGGGCGGGAGTGCTCATCAGAAAGACAGAGAGAGACAGAAAGCAAGAAATCGCCCCCTAGGGGATGGCCACACTGCAGTCTCTTCTCCTCCATTCTCCTCTTGGGATCTTGGGCACACACACACACGCCCGGCGTGAGTTTAAGCCACTGGGTCTGGGACTCGAACCATAGTCAACTTTTTTTTTCCACAGACCCCAGCCATTACACCAACTACTGGTCCCCATAGACTTGAATAGTTTTAACTGTTATAGTTTTGAAGTATGCAATTTTAAAAAGTGACTGAAATAAATATATGCCATAATTAATTTTTATAAAGTGACTACCCATGAAATCACCGCTCAGATCATGAAAGAGAACATCATCTCAACCTCAGAACCCCCCCAAGGGTCCTGCTCCTTTGTGAATTATCATCAATTATTGTGACATCTGACATGGGATAGTTTTGCCCATTTCTAAGCTTTGCGTAACCAAATCAGATAGTTTATTATCTTTTGTGTCTAGCTTCTTTCGCTTTCCATTGTGTTGACAGGATCTGTTTTCGTTGTTACACATTCATTCCTTTTCTTGACTCAGTAGTACAAAGTAAATTCCAAAGTTAACTCCTCTATTTTACTTCTATGGACGTTTTGATTGTTTTCAGTCGTGGGCTGTCATAGAGTTATTGTTACACATGCATTTGTACACTCACAGAAGTGCACGCTCACTCACAGAAAAACAGGAGCACGCGCGGAAACGCATGGGTACAGCTGTGTCCCAGGTGGCACGTGACAAGATGGAAGCAGACCGGACTCCCGAGTCCCCCTTGGAAGGGCGCTGACTTGGAGAGCCAATATATCTGCTGAATTTTGCATGAGCAAAACATCAGCTCCTTTGTAGACACTGGGATTTAATTACTTTTTATTACTGCAGCACAGTGTAGTTTAACTTGACTAGTAAAAACATTGATCTTTTTCTTTTTGGTGCAAGTTAAAATGTTTCTCCTTTAATCATGCATCTGGGCGCCCCCCCAGCCTCTCTCCAGCAGGGTACCCGCATCCCTCCAGGCCCTTCCCAGTGGCTTGCTTTTGCTCCCGGAACTTATGCATGCAAATTGCCAGTTACCTCTTCTGTGACAATCCTGCAGAGCCAGCTGGGTGGTGAACAGTATTAAAAGGGCCACACACAGCACTCGTGGGAAATGATATCCATATTAAAATCAATATTGGGGTTGTACAGTAGTACTTCGTGATACGTGCTCCTGGAAAATGTTGTCTAAGTAGGATTTTGGCCGCTCAAATCACATTTGAACAATATGTGAGCACTGTTTTGGAAAAAGTCAATAGTTCTTTGAAAGGCAGATAACCATGGGTTTTTTGTTTTTCAATTTGCTATAGGACACTGGTTGTACTTGCTGGAGAGAGACAGAGAGCGAGAAAGTAGCCCCCTGGGGGATGGCTACACCACAGTTCCTCTTGTTCTTAGAAGTTTGGACATGCACACATATGTGTCTGTCATGTTTTTCAAGCCACCGGGTTCAGGACTCAAATGATACACTCGGCCATGTGGGATTCAGCTATCTTAACCACCATGCCACTGGTTAGCCAACTGTAAGTCTTACTTAATACGATTCCAAGACTTGATTTGTGTGTGTGTGTGTGTGTGTGTGTGTGTGTGTGTGTGTGGAGGTTTTGCTATAGGGCGGGAGTGCTCATCAGAAAGACAGAGAGAGACAGAAAGCAAGAAATCACCCCCTAGGGGATGGCCACACTGCAGTCTCTTCTCCTCCATTCTCCTCTTGGGATCTTGGGCACACACACACACGCCCGGCGTGAGTTTAAGCCACTGGGTCTGGGACTCGAACCATAGTCAACTACACGGGAGTCCAGCAACACAGCCATTACACCAACTACTGGTCCCCATAGACTTGAATAGTTTTAACTGTTATAGTTTTGAAGTATGCAATTTTAAAAAGTGACTGAAATAAATATATGCCATAATTAATTTTTATAAAGTGACTACCCATGAAATCACCGCTCAGATCATGAAAGAGAACATCATCTCAACCTCAGAACCCCCCCAAGGGTCCTGCTCCTTTGTGAATTATCATCAATTATTGTGACATCTGACATGGGATAGTTTTGCCCATTTCTAAGCTTTGCGTAACCAAATCAGATAGTTTATTATCTTTTGTGTCTAGCTTCTTTCGCTTTCCATTGTGTTGACAGGATCTGTTTTCGTTGTTACACATTCATTCCTTTTCTTGACTCAGTAGTACAAAGTAAATTCCAAAGTTAACTCCTCTATTTTACTTCTATGGACGTTTTGATTGTTTTCAGTCGTGGGCTGTCATAGAGTTATTGTTACACATGCATTTGTACACTCACAGAAGTGCACGCTCACTCACAGAAAAACAGGAGCACGCGCGGAAACGCATGGGTACAGCTGTGTCCCAGGTGGCACGTGACAAGATGGAAGCAGACCGGACTCCCGAGTCCCCCTTGGAAGGGCGCTGACTTGGAGAGCCAATATATCTGCTGAATTTTGCATGAGCAAAACATCAGCTCCTTTGTAGACACTGGGATTTAATTACTTTTTATTACTGCAGCACAGTGTAGTTTAACTTGACTAGTAAAAACATTGATCTTTTTCTTTTTGGTGCAAGTTAAAATGTTTCTCCTTTAATCATGCATGACATAATGCGTGCACACACATGTGGAAGTGAGAGGGAGGGGCTCCCTCTGTGAGGTCGTGCCCCCATCCTCTCCGGGTGCTCCAGCACTGGGTCCTGGACACTCACAGGGAGCCTGGTGTGTCAGGCTGACCGGGCCGGGATTCGCGGTAGCCACGGGGTCTGGCTTCTCTTAAGCAGTACATCATACCTGTGCTCTCTAGCCGGCCTGCTATGAACATTTTAAACATTTATTTTCTGAAGTATTTTAATAATCAAAATGAATGATTGCTTTTCACATGTTGAAAGCTCACGACTCCAATGAAAGGTCTTAATTTATTAATTCTGGTTCCCAGGAAAGTGATGGCAAGTGACGAAGCCTCTGGAGGCAGGGGAAGGGGTGTCAGCACACTGAAGCGCACGCTCTGCGTCTGGGGCTCCTGGCAAGGACTGCGTGGCTCAGCCGGCAGTTTGGTGGCATTTATTTGACTTTACCATTCTCTCTAGTGAGAAAATGCCAAGGCCAAGGCCATCATTCTCCCCTCGTGTGGCCTTATGGTTTGTGACACCAAATTCACGAGTCATGATTTGGTTGTGGTTTAAGAGGGAAGTCCATCCCTTCACGGTTTCTAAAGGGGCAGCCTTTGGGAGTGACTGGGGAGAGGGGGGCCCTGTGATGGACTCCTGGTCAGCTTGCCAGGAGCCAGACTCGTACACCGAACACACAGTGACCGGGCTCCTGTTTGCTCACAATGTGACACCCCGCAGGGCCTCGGGCCTCCACAGCACGAAACCCCTCCAGAGATGGCCCCTGGTCCTCAGACCTCCAAGCTGTGAGTGGAATAAAATTCTATTCTCTTGGGACCAGCAGATGGCATGATGGTTATATCACTGGACTTCCACATAGTCGACTGCAGTTTGAGTCCCAGACCCAGTGGTTTAAAACTCATGCCAGGCTCATGTGCTGGTTTAAAACTCATGCTGGGTGCATGCGCTTGAGTGTGCGGGTCCGAAATCCAGAGAGGAGGATGGAGGAGAGGGATTATGGCGTAGCCATCACCCGGGGGTGATTTCTCGCTTTCTGTCTCCCTGTATCTCTGGCAGTACACGCACCCTGTGATAGAAATCTCTCTAAAACAGTAACAATGGCTCTGTTCTCTTTAATTATCAAGACTCAAATATTTTCTCTTACTAGAAATGGAACTAACTGGAACAGGTGTGCTTTCGGAGGAGTTTGAGAGGTGACACCAGACAAAACAGTTCCCAAGGCTGTCCGGCTAAAGGCGTAGGCTACAGCGGGAACTTGGAACACTCCGCAAGTCGGCTGTGCAGATGTGGCCATGGATGATCAGGGAGCAGGTGGGGAGTGAGGACAGCCTCTGGAGACCCAGCGTCTAGGTGGGCTGGGGCGCCCGAGTCAGCAGGGCCAGCAGTGACCACGCGCTGGTTGGGAAGCACGAGCTGTCTCTGTCCTCTGCCATCGTGTTTGACCGTGTGACCTTCCTCAGCTCCCTTCAGCTGCCACAGTTCCCTAAGAGGTGCTGACTGGAACCAGAAGTGACAGGAATTCTGGGAGCAGTAAAGTCAGCAGCGGACGGCCAGCTTAGGACCTCCAGTTTAAGAGCCCATGGCCTCCTGTGGGGTGTAAGAAACTGGGGTACTGGGGGCCAGCAGGCGGCATAGTGGTTAAGGTGCTGAACTCTCACGTGACCAACCATGCTTTGAGTCCCAGACTCATGGCTTGAAACTCACACCGGTGCACGTGTGTGTGTGCCCAAGATCCCGAGAGGAGAATGGAAAAGGGATTGAAGGGATTGCAGCGTGGCCATCCCCCCGGAGGTGATTTCTTACTTTCTGTCTCTGTCTCTCTGGCGAGTGCATTTGCCCTACAGCAAAAATCACTCTCTCTAAAAACGAAAAAGAAAGAAACTGGGCCACTGATAATGGGAAGAAGCAAGAGTCGAAGCCCAAGGCCAAACTTGGCTTAAGGAGAGATTGAACACGCACAGGCATAGGGTCCAGTAGCCACGCTCTTCTTAACTTTGCCAGAGAGTGTGCGTTCACTGCAGAGAGACAGAGAGACAGTGTGTGCTTACTGCAGAGAGACAGAGGGACAGAGAGAGGGAAAGTGAGAAATCAACCCCCAGAGGGATGGCCATGCTGCAATCCCTTCTCCTCCATTCTCTTCCTGGGATCTTGGGCATGCACGCACATGTGCCTAGCGTGATTTCGAAGTCACCAGGTCTGGGACTCAAACCACTGTGGGATATACGGGAGTCCAGTGACATAACCACTACATCCGCTGTTTCCAATCAGGTGTGCTTTTCGCCCTGGGACTTAAACTGTGGAGTCGGCCATGTGGGATCCGGTGCCTTTACCACTCCACTTGCTGGCCCTCTTATTTCTTAACTATGGCAAGAGATACCAAAGTGCCTGCTAGACAGAAGTCCTTTGAAGACAGCTCTTTTTTCCTTCCAAGACTGAGAGAAACAGAGAGAGAACGTGTCCAATCGGGTCCTAACTCATCAGTCCAGCCCCAGTGTCAGTCGCCTCTGGACCGTGGGGATGTGTGTGCCAGGCATACTTGGGGGTCTCCAGATGCGAACTCAGGACATTCCCACTTGGGTCAGTCTCAGGGCACCATGTTTCAACACTGTACCCCTGTCCCGCCCCAGAACAGCTTTTACCATCTTAACAAAAAGCAGTTAGCATAATGGCTATGTCGCTGGACTCCCACGTAGTCGACCGCGGTTCGCACCCTGGACCCGGTGGCTTAAAACCCACGCCGGGTGCATGTGCATGCCCAAGATCCCGAGAGGAGAATGGAGGAGAAGGGATTGC